ACTTGGCTCTGTTCCCAGGCCTGGGGTTAATGGGTTTATTGAGGCATTTATGGACCCTTGTCATATCTGCATGGTTTAATTGTTTTTGTTTCTGGATTTTGTAAGCTGCCTAGAGTCTAATAGAGTGGGCGGCTATAACAAATTTTATAAATTCAATGCAATTAATCAGGTCACCCTCATTGAGATCTATTTCCTCTTAGTTTCAGAAATATATAACTTACCTACTTTCATTTAATTTGTTAATTCATGTTCTTTATCATTTACTCCTGTTACAAGTTGCCATTTTCCATATGCAGTGATCATCCACAGATACTGACCTCTGCTACCCATCATTGCTTTGATCAGTTGTGGCTTTTACATACTGTTTTTTAGTAAAATAGTGAAACTGGACTTTAGATTAGTAGCCTTAATTGAATTAGTGCCTTGTGCAGCATTCTCCACAGATGGTAAGGATGGTATTGATTGTTTTGGCCAATATGTTATAAGTATAACCAAAGCCTATTTTTACCTCAAATATTCTCAGGCTATATTATGCAATCTAAAATCTCAAAACTAGAGATTGCCTTGTATGTCAATGTATTATTGTCCACATTTGGAAATATACACAGTGTACTGACACACACTCAGGATATGTCATCAGCAATTATTAATAATAACTGGCAGCAGGCAGGAGAATTTTATTTTTCTGTTTGGGTTAATGAACTGCAAGCCAATAACATTACCAATGAAGAAGTTAAACTTCATGTTCAGATGTTGCCAGTATTATAGGATTTTATTTTGATGTTTGCAAAATTGGCATATGTCTCTATCAAGGGATAAATTTGGAGGCAGGGTGTGAGAGAGAACCGAGGCTAGGTCTTTGTAATTAGTCCATGCTTACAGTTTGTATTGCTGCTGGCAAACGGATATGTAGCCACAAACATATGTATGATCTAAATTTGCTTTAATTTTTTTAAAGTTCAGCATTATTTAAATTTATAAGCGATTCCTGATCCTGACTTGGCAGGTAGGATACTAACTAGTTTTGCTATTCTTGCATTCTTCCCACACACTCTCAATACACTGCTCTGCATCTTAAGTCCTTTGAAAACACAAGAAGCTAAACATTATAGCTGCACTAGTAATTATTAATGTTATATAGGTCCAAGTACTCTTGGTATGCATCCAGTTCCATTTGTGCATCTTTGACTGGTGGAAAATAGGACTGAATTTTTAGGGAACAAGAATATTAAAAGATCACTGTTTTACTACTGATTTTTAAAAAGTTGATTTTAAAAGAAAGCCAGCCAGATGCTCATTTTTATCATTCTAGGCAACATCTGAGTGAAAAGGGCCAATGATATGGTCTCTGTAGTAGCTTAAGATGTGAACTTCAAAATAATCCACATGAAAAAAGCATATTTCTCATTATAACTCCAAAAGTTATACTAAGTAGCCCTAATTTAGTGATGGAATGTTTTTCCCCCCTAAGATTATGGTTTTTAATTGTTTTTCTTCTATTGTTCAAAACAATAAGCTGGTGTAGGTGAGAGTATAAACTAACCTCCTGCAGGAAATGGAATGGGTTTAGATTAAGCAGTTACACCCTTGGAATGCCTCATTTTGAGTCTGTTACTGCTGTTGGGAATTTTCAACCAGCATAGGACTTACACCATCAGAATGTCACCTTCTTTGTTATAACCTCTTCTTCTCAAGGCCTCAATAAGAGGTGGTTAGCCTTATCACCAAAACTGCAATTCTGTTTATAATTCTACTGGAGCAATCAAAATGAACCCATTGAAACTTACTTCAAAACACATACAGGACTGTATAATCAAGCAAAAATCCCTTCAATATAAAGAAGTTTAAAGGAACATTGATGACAAAGAGGAAAAGACTGGTTTGGAGAGAAAAAAGTGATTTTCAGATATTCTAGATTTCAACTCTATCAGCAGGAGATTGTGAAAGCTCCTGTTTAAAACATCTGGGGGCAGAAGTCTGTCTGCCCCAGAAATAATCTAGTAATCATATTTATCTGGCACAGTATCAAACAGGGTTACAGAATAAGAGGAAAATCACCTCTTTTTATGGTTTTAGCAAATGGTAGCACTTAGCTAATGTCAGCTAATTATGGAAGCTAAGTCAGTCATTCCTGATTAACAATTGGTTGGGGATTGCCATGAAATACCAGGACTGTAAGCTAAACTGGGAAGTTGAAAAAACATATCAGAAGGCGGCAATGGCAAATCACTTCGATAACACAGATAAGAAAACTGCATGTATGTTGTCACTAAAGAGCAAACAACCTTTTTTTACCTCCTTGATTAAGTATCTTTCATAGCTGGCGTGCACTACATATTGGGCAGTCCTTGAAGAAAATCTAGCACAAAATGTAATAGCCAATCCATTAGCAGAAGCTACCAGAATTTTATGTAATAGTTCAATACAGAACAGAAAGCTGAGGGGAGAATATCCCAGATCCTGTCACTGGCATCTCCAGGTATGCTTTGACAAGACTGTCTAAAGTTCTGAAAAGTAATTTGCTGAGTGGGCTGGCAAATTACATATAAGGCTATTTCCTATATTCCTAGAACATGTAGTACTCTTACCACATAAACTACCACAGATAAACCTTGATTTAATGGACTAACTAGGAGTATCCTTTATGCATGAAATCCATTAAATACAAAAATATGTTATCAAATGAGGTACACCAATTGTGTATGACACCATTATGAAAATGACATAAATCATGGCAAATATTTGGCCTTTGGTAAGTGAAGCTCATTACATCAAAGTCCACTAAATCAAGGTTTCACTATATTCATTATACTGGTCAGTTTAGATGAAACTGTATATTCTCGTTTGTTATTTGAGTTCTTTGGAGAAAGGGGAAATTCAAATTAAAGTGATGGACTATAAAAGGGAATTAGAGGATCGGAACTAAATTAAATCTATAGGAATGCTAAGACATATCTGCAATCTTACCTACACATGACTTTCAAATTAACACAGTCTAGTTAAACAGCATAGAAGTAATGTTTCTTATCATTACCTTTTTCAACAGGTGCAAAATTTCAAAGCTCTATACAGTACATGGCTTCTTTCTTAACCAAGACTGCATAAGTATTTATACTGAGGATCACAAGATCTATTAGTTATTTAAGGCATGTAATGTATGTTAACAGCTTCCCAAGTAAGTTTTATTACTTGGATTTAAAGATTCAAATATTAGATACCATGCTCCTCTGTTAAACCAGAAGTACATTAACTACCATTGTCAAGTGCTTCCTTTAATTATTTTTCTTGTAGAAAATAACAGTGTTTCCTCGCTTCAATTTATTTCAGGCGGCACAAATTATTCAAGAAAACCCTCTGATTTCCTTCTCCCACACACCCAGGGAAAAGAGCAACATAAGATTATATAATAATAATAATAATAATAATAATAATAATAATAATAATAATAAAAAAAAAAAATTTAGAACTATGTCTAAA